CCAATTTAATCCAGACTAGAAAAATCTTAAGGGACAATAGATCCCCTACCCATTCAGTGTGTATAGACCATAAACTCCATGGCGATTCCAATTAGCTCTGGGTGGACTTAGAAAGAACATGAAACATCCAGTCTTCCCTGCAACAGGAGAAAGCACAACCATGAATAAAACAACTTAAGATATTCTTACATAGTGATGGTTGAGGGAGTGCAGAGGCATGAGGCAGACCAGCTGAGAAGTGGTGTTCCCACAGGGAGGAGCACAGTTGCCCTGGAAGCCCCACCTGGAGGGGCAGGTATATGACCACCCTCTGACCTCCTGGCAGTGCCTCCCATTGGACAAACCCAGCCTGGAGCAGAGGACAAGGGAGCGGATGGATTCTATGATGATCAGTCACCCAGGGCCATTGGATGGAGTGGTGGTGCAGAGAGGATTTTGATGGGGCAAATGCAAGATAAGTTGCACGAGAATAAACACAGTACCTTGTTCAGTTATGAACTTTTTGAAGCAAAGAGTGAAGTTTGGTGTTGTTTTGTTGGGTTTTGTTTTATTTTTGGTTGAGGAAAGGTCAGAGGACTTACATGGATGGAGGGAAGTAGCAAACCATTCCACATTAGCGTGTTGTCACATGTTTAAGACAGCACAAGCTTGGATGTGAGAAAGCTAGCATCTGTGTTTGGCTGGGGAGAAGTGTAACTAGAACTTAGGTGATTGGAATGAGAAAGAAGAAGTGAAGAGCTTGTGTCCAGAGGTGGCACATTGTTGAGCTCAGAAACAACAGGAGCCCCTGCAGGTTCTTGGGTATACTTGCAATATGAAAAGAATGTTTGAGAGCATTACTCACTAATTCTACCTGCATGGGTGACCAGTGGGAGAATGGAGGAAGAAGAGGGCCTCGAGAGAAGAAATGCATTACATATTCCTAAACTGTACTTTTCACAAGTCTCTTGAGCCATTATTGAGGCTATTAGCATTCCCAGATATTCCAGGGTAAACCGAATTCACCTGTTGTTCATATCTTTACATCTACAGGCGTGTGAATTCCTCTTCTTAGTAAGATATGAGTTTAAAATGTGTAAAACTGAACATTTATTTTATTAGGATTAGGCACTTGCTATCTGGGCCCCACTTATATTCCAAACCCTTCCTGATCTTAGAAATTGAGAAGAGTTCACAAGGAGGGTTCATAGGTACTGGATGTAAATGTGTGAAGGGAAGAGAAAAACAACTACTGAAATCACAGGTGTTGTGATAAAACTGTCAAAAGTATATGAAATTGGGTAGGAATACTAAGAAACAGAAGTTACAGCTCTATTTGTTTTGGTGAGAATATAAATTTGCAAATGTTTCACCGACATAAAGAAAATCATGAAGACTCTCTGAGTCCTTTTAAGATATTTCAGCTAGTGTCTATGGCTACCAGAACAAAATTCTTCAATTTTTAAGCCCTCTTTCGAATCTTATGAACAGAACTAAAAAGTGGCCAAGTTATCCTGGTGGGGGACTGAGGAAATAAACTAGGGGAGATGACTTGCTAAGTCATTGAAGCAAAGGACTTCTAACTCTGAATTTCCATCACTGACATTACTGTGAAGGTTTCATCACTAGAACAATGACGGGAGAGGAAAGAGTGGAGGATGAGTGTCTGCTTCTGTATACATATTTAAAATTCCAGTCTTAAGGCCTGAAGTAGTAAATGCCATTCCTGATCCAATGAAGGGATAAGGTCACCTAGCTCACAGCCTCTACTAAGCATGAATTTCTGTCCCTGATGTATGTTGATAGCTTTACCTTGTCCAGGTATCAGATCTCTCCCAGAAATGCATAAGGTGTAGCCACATTTATTTTCAAGAACATCAGGCAGAATCTGGTGAACAAAGTACTCTACAGGACTGGCCCCATCTGTACCGGTATTGTAGTTCCGTGGGTAGATAACATAAGCATCGTAGATCTTTCCATCTGCAAATGAAAATAAGAAGTACAACTTCTTACTTGATTCTAAAAATTCTCACTGGACTCTTAGAATACATTCCTCTGTCATCCTCCAAAATATTCTAGACTCAAGAGATGTTGACAGCGAACCACTGCCACCAAACATGATCAGGAAGTAACAGTCTTCATCCCAAAGCTTTTCTCCTTTTTACTGTCACAGACTAAATAACAAAAAAGTGGACAAGAGCCTGTTCAGCATAGTTAAAACCATCTCATCAATTTTGATTAATAATCTATGAACAATGTTTATGGTCATAGAGAGGGAATCTTCTTCTGTGCTGGATAGACTTCGGTTTCATCTTTGGTTTCCCCATACTCCCCTGGGAAAGTGAAAAAAGGTAAAGCTAATAGTAGCAAGGGCATAGAATTTTTTATGGGGTCTGAATTTCTCACAAATCAAACAGCTCCTACTTGAGTCAATTGTTTGAAAAATTCAATGTGTATATGCCTCCAAACGAAAGCATGGGGTTTGCATCTAGCAGACAGAACTGACTCCTTTTATGCGTATACTTATGTGCCTGGGTTAGATTTTACAGGTTAGGGTTTCAGGTAGAACACATGTGCATTCTAATGGACCTTTCTAATCTGCTCACATCTGGAAAACAGGAACAATTTTGCTACTGTGTTTAACTTCATAATGTCTTCCCAACGCATTATGAAACACATTATGTCTTACCAACACATTATGAAATTTACACCTTTCTGGGCTTGGGACAGATTCTGTTATTGGGAACTGAGTAGGAATAGCAATCCTATCAGGGAAGAAGTGTGAGCTGTTGAGATGAATCTCAGGACCATGAGGAGTTACAGAGCAGGATGGAAAACGGCTTCTAAGAAAATCAAACAACACAATTCATTGATAATAAATTATCAAGAAAACTTGAATGTGAGCTTAGCAGCCTAGCTATTGAAAGATTAATAGGCAATTAACCAACAGTTATTATGGGACTTTTTCTTTGGAAGAAAAACTTAATATTTGCCACTTACCATTCCTAGTCCTGTGAGGCTTAGCTATGTCTCTCCAGAGTAGAACAGCCTCAATCCAGAACATTTTTAGGATAATAACCAGGACGTTGATTACTATCAACAATCCGCTACATACTGCAATTATGCAGTAGGTGCTGTTTTTATGATCAACTACTCAAAAGATAAGGGAAAGAGAAAAATGATTATTATTACTACTGAAACAAGATAAATAAACAGATACATGGATGCTGGCTTCTCTTGGGAGTACAAGAGTTTCACATAAAACATACCCACTGGGAATTACCATGGCTGCTTTAAGAACCAGGACATTCACATTTATAGAGCCACTACAACACATCAGGCTAGGCATTACAGGGAATTCTTAAGGGCAAAAGAGACACTTGTTAACTAAGATGGGAGGCAAAAGCATGATTTTAGCTGGTAGAGAATTTTAAAAGGAGAGCTTGCTGCATGCAGGACTGGAAAAGAGAGACTTCCTGGAGGAGGACGAGGTCCCTGAAAGATGAGTAGGATTCAGAGATACAAGAAAAAGATATGCCCACCTTGGCAGAGAGAATGCCATCAACCTAAGTGCAGAGGTGGGAGTGTGCTTTCTGAGGATTTGGAATAACCCACTTTGGGGAATTGGTGGAAGATATGATTAGAAAGTTTGGTCAGGGCCAGGTTCTGACCAGACTTGAAACCCCAGCTAAAGCACACTGCCTTATCCTGAATGTCACAGAGCATTGGAACTTGGAGTGGTTTTCCCATGAGATTAATCTGATGGTAATAGAAAGTTTTCTTCTGTGTAAAGAAACTATAGGCACTCGGAGAAGAGTGGAGTGTGGTACTTGGGATGCAAGATGCAGAGACTTGTAACTCACACAGTAATGAGAAAAGAATGGACAAGGTGGTGTCAGGGCATTAGAGAGGTGTCAACAGGTCTGAGGTACTTGTCTCTGAAGGCCTGGTGGAGTAGGAAATTGCAGAAGTAGCAAGAGCCATCTAAGTGGCTAAAGCATCTTTGATAAAGAACTCAAAAGTCAAATTACTAAGTTCTAGGTCCTACCCATACCCCATACTTCTCTCATGGTGAGCATCACTCAGCCAGCACTGAACTTTATCCTAGTACTACTTGCTTCACAAAATGCAGATGCAACATGCATATGCACTGACAAATGTGAGAAGAATCTCAAATGAGATTTTCTGGTATGGTTCTTTTCCATCTTGAGTCTCCATGTATGGGCTCCCAGTTTTGAGATAGAAAAATCACTGGCCCATATTCATGAATTCCACCACAACCTCTAATAGTTCATCAGCTCTCTCAGTGACCAGCAGTATGAAATCAAGAATTATCAAGGTGATACGCTTCAAAGTTGGGGAAAAAAAGTGAAAATTGATAAAGTTTACTGTCATCAGGTTAAACAATGAAAATGCTGTAAATAAATCATTCCAACAGGATTCCTTTCCAAGTCACTCTGTCTAAAAATCCCAGCTGGATGCCCAGAGGAGTGTGTACTTCCTTTGGGGATTTCTGGGAAGTAACTATGCTAGTGGCTGGATGCTTCCAAGTGGAGGAAAGAAATTGATCCAAGACATCAAAAGAAGTCTTCGTAAGTGCAAATTATCTTATAAAAATATAGGTAATCCAGGAATGTAATTCACTAAACACCACTTTCTGTATACGCATATAAATAAGAAAATGCTGGCTGCGTTTGAATCCTTGCTCCATAACTGTGGTATTTGGCAAGTTATTCAACTTTCTTTGCCTTCACTTCCTCATGTACAAAATTAATAATAACAGTCTCTCCCTCATGAAGTATTGAGAAAACAAATGAGAAAGTTAAATGTAAAATAATTACATGAGTCCTGGCACATAGGAAATGATGAATAAATGTGTACTATTATTATTATGAGCATCAAATGTATATTTAGTAATAGTTAATAAAATGGGGACATAGGCCTATTAAGTTTTTCTTCTCTCAAATTCAAGAAATGCTATAATTTCAGAAATAAAGAAGAATTCATTGTGACAACTCAACAGCAGTAGTAATAATTTTTGTTTAATTTATGCAGTTGCTGAAACAGAGTGTAACCATGTTGATTTAAAGAAAAACAGGTGAAATACAAATAAGCTAGAAGGAGCAAAGACACTGAATACCTGCAACATAAAAACAATTTCAACACATAGGTAACCAAGGATGTTAATCAATGATAACACGGCAAAGCATGAGGACACAAGGGCAGTGTGGCTGGGCAGGCTGGATGGATGACTGGAGGGTCCACAGGGCCCATCACCACCCAAAGTATGGCCTCACATAGCACCTTGATGGGATCCACAGCCTTCCTGGGGTGCCACACTTATCACTGGCAGACACCAGAGATTCACAGAACACTATGGCACTTACAGCCATCTACGTGAGTTATGACTCTGTTTATTTTATGAAAACCTTACGAATCAGGGGTTAAAGTCAAAATGAAAACAAGAAAAGCCCCACATACCACCTCAGGCAGAGACCTGCTATGATTCAATCATATTGGGTGTCCCCTGATCCCACACCTCAAACATTTCTCCTCCTGTTGTGCCTCTCTGTGTGTATCCAGATAAATCTGGACCCTATCACATGTATGGGTGGGAACTCAGGGTTTAACACTTTCTTTGGCTATTCGACAAGCACATTAAACAATTTCTACATGGTTGTACAGCCCCTAAGGAGGGATAAGTGTAAAAATATATTTATCTCTCCTTCCTTGTATATGGGATCCAATGCTTCCTATAGCAAACAGGATGTCATTGCCAGGAAACCCAAAGAATAAGTGAGGAAACTGGCAAGTGATCAGGAGTGAACTGCCTGGAAAGCTATTTTCCAAGACAACATTGCAATCAGAGACACAGCAAGGGAGTGGGGAAGGATCAGTCCACCTCTGCGGGAGGAGCACTTCATCTCAGACATTGTTTTGCATTGTCTGGGCATAGTAATAATAAAAAGCACAATGACTTGTAGCCATCTTTAGTACAGTTTTGAAAACTCTGTAGACAAACATATCGCCTTCTATGTACACCCAAGAGGGATCACTCTCTCCACCCTGCTTTGGCTATTTGTGATGCCACCAATTATTTATGTATAGATAAAAGAATGTTACATTTAAAAAGATTATATAAGCTGGGCGCAGTGGCTCAAGCCTGTAATCCCCGCACTTTGGGAGGCCGAGGAGGGTGGATCACGAGGTCAAGAGATCGAGACCATCCTGGTCAACATGGTGAAACCCCGTCTCTACTAAAAATACAAAAAATTAGCAGGGCACGGTGGTGCGTGCTTGTAATCCCAGCTGCTCAGGAGGCTGAGGCAGGAGAATTGCCTAACCCAGGAGGCGGAGGTTGTAGTGAGCCGAGATTGCGCCATTGCACTCCAGCCTGGGTAACAAGAGCAAAACTCCATCTCAAAAAAAAAAAAAAGATTTTATAGCGTCTGAAATTAACCCAATGATGATTCATCAGTTTCACATTATCCTTTTATTGTGTCATATTATAATAATGTTATCAAAAACCTGCTGGATACAGAAGAAAAACTATAAGAAGTAATAAACAATTTGGCTTTCCAATTGATGAGGAAAGTTATTGAATTTGCCAAACATAAATATGAAAATAGTATTTTGTTCTATAATTAAGCCTTATAGCTAGAGAACTAGAAATGTACTAAAAAATATTTTGTATCAATATCTTGGTTGTGTATTCATTTACTCAGTCAACAAATATTTAACTGAGTACTTGCTAGCTGCTAGGTGTTGCACTAAGGACCTAAAGATGAATGAGATGATGTCCCTGCCCTCATGGAGCTTGCAGTCCTGTTGAGCAGACTGTCAAACAGATTTTGGTAAGGCAATGTGACCAGTGCTATGATACAAATGGGATGCTGCAAGAGGTTCTTGGAAGGTGTGTATACCCCAAACTGAGGGCCAAGAAAGCCTCCCTGGAATAGGCGGTACCAGAATTGCATGGTGAATAACAAATGCGGGAAAGAAATGGGCTGAGCTAGCAGACTTCCCATGTGTTTCACCTATATTTAACAGTTTGACAATGATAACCGTTGTGATGTGATTTGGATCTGTGTTCCTGCCCAAATCTCAGGCTGAATGGTAATCCCAGTATTAGAGGTGGAGCCTGGTGGGAGGTGATTGGATCATGGGGGTAAGCTCATCATGAATGGTTTAGCACCTTCCCCTTGATGCTGTCCTTGCAGTAGTGAGTGACTTCTTGTGAGATCTGGCTGTTTAAGTGTGGCACCTCTCTCTCTCTCTCTCATTCCTGCTTTCACCGTGTGAAGTGCCTGCCTTCGCTTTGCCTTCTGCCATGAGTAGAGCTCCTGAGGTGTCCCCAGTAGCAGGTGCTGCCATGGTTCCCATGCAGCCTGCAGAACCATGAGCCATTAAAGCCTCTTTTCATATCAATCATCCAGTTTCAGGCATTTCTTCATAGCAATGCAATGGCCTAACACAGCATGTCTTATGATAGAGTAGCATCCAGGATTTTCTCACTGAAATGGCAGTGGTTAGATACTTCCGCTTTTTGTTCACTTTACCGTCCTCACTAACAAAACATGTATTCATTATAACCAGAAAAAGGTATAGAAGGGAGCATGCTTACAACATGTAACAGAAGTTATCCCAGAGCACAGAAGAACACAACGAGTTCACCGTTGCTGCAACTTCTTCACATACAGTGAGGCAGAAGGAGTTCATGAAGTCAGAAAACAAGGATGACCAAAGAAGCAGCTGAGTGTTCTAGAACCAACGGCAGAGAAAGCAGGGAAGGAGGAGGAACTTAAGCAGCAGAGGAGCTCCCAGCAGACAGAAACAGTCTACGAAGACCAGATAGCAAAGAGCATCCAAAGAAGAGAAGCCCATTTTATAGCACAGTCCATTCCCATTGTCTTCACGGATCTCCTGGTACCACACTCCATTCTGCTTACACTTGCCACAGAAAGCTCAGGTGACCAAAGTCTCAGAAACACGCCTTACTTGGATTTTTTCTACTGAGTCTTATGGTGTGCCTTCTCAAGCCGTGCAAATTCAGGGCCAGACAGTCGTACTGCAGCAATAAATCCTCTTCCTTCATGTTAGCTATTCTTAAAACCATGTTTAGACAAGTCATCCCATCGCTGAAACTAAGAAAACAACCTGTTACTTTTAATGCCTACTTTGTAGGTGCAAACTGTGTGCAAGGGGAAGGGGATGGTTCTCTTTGATATAAAAATACCTTTGATTTTGCCCTTCCTCCTGTTGAAATCTTGCTTCACCAAAGTCTGTAATACTTTTCCCAGCAACCTGCCACAAGACGACAGCCAAGAACTGAGTGCCTTTTCCAAAACAAGCGGAGCAAGTTAGGCTTACGTTTTTTCCTAGAAGGGAGTAAGGACATTCACCAATAAAATTAACTTCTGCAAGTAGCATTTTATCCCATTTAATGTAAAAAATATTGCTAAACACTTAGTATGCACCCTGCCAGGGCCTCCCTCCCTCATCTCTGCAACTTCCTCTTTCTATGTCCTCTCTTGGCTCCTCCCTGCTCCCATTACCTCCATTCACCCAGCTGGGTTTGAAGCTCAGCTCCCACTACACTCTCACCCACATGGGAAACTAACAAAGCCAATGACTCTGGCTTCACCAACTCCACATTATAAAGGATTTCTAGTAAAAGGATTGCCTTTTCCCTGAAATTAGACTTTCTTTCCAACTGCTCTCTTCCACACCTTTCTCCTACAGAACTCTTCTCATCTCTCCATAAGCTACCTTTGAAGATAAATGTGTTTCACCTAACCCAGCTACCATTGCCCAGAATGAACACTCTGCAGCTCTCCATCCCAAGCTCTAGGATAGAGGTAAAGATAAAATTAAATCCATAAATGAAAGCACCATGAATTACAATAAACAAATGTAAACACTGCAATTTCTGTGCTTGGTTCCCAGTGTTAGTGAGTGCCTGGGACAGGTGCTTCCAGGGATGTCACCTCACTTACCCCTCAAGGTTCTTATGCTAATTACCTGACCCCCCCCAGGGAATTCAGATCAGGAGTCATATGGAAGGATTTTGTAGGTAATATTTACAGCATTCTTATGAACTTTCTTACCAATTTCCACTTCCTTTGTTTCATTGTGTGGAGGGGCTCTGATTACTGGAAACAAAGAAAAGCCGTGCTCTTCTTAAAGACAAAAAGAAATATAAATATTAGTAGAGAATTGAATGGTCATCAATATATAGGTTGTATTTCCATATTTCTATTCTATTTCATAGCAATGTTTTTCAAATTCTTCTGACAATGACCCATAATGGCAAATACATACACACACAAATTAAACAGAAAAGAATTTAAATAAAACTTTCTTTTACTACCTATGATGCTCTGTAATATTTTTATTCTCTCTGATATCACTAAAACAAATGCTGGTCCAGCCCATAAAACTAATTACATGAAAATTACAATTCTACAGCGTGAGAATAAGACTACAGGGAAGATTTCAAAAGGCCCATGAAAATAGCAAATGCGTGAGTCCACAGATTTGCTTGCGGTTCTCCACTAGGGTGGCCCATCCTCAGTGAAATCTTCCCCCTCTGGAATTCTGACTCCCGTGACCACTGTGGCTGAAAGACAGGCAGTGTTTGTGGAGGGCTGCTGCAATCCTCCATCCCTTGATGCCCATTCATTGAAAGAGAGTGTGATTAAGGACCTCCGCAGTGGTTGATATTAAACAGCAACAGGCACTGATAGGAGTACAGTCTGGTGATGCTTATTTTACAGTGGTGGAGTACTGAAAAAACTCCAAAGCATTTTCTCCAATATTGCTTTGCCCTTAGAAAAACTATCATACATCATCTATGTCATACAGATTTGGCCGGGCGCGGTGGCTCACGCCTGTAATCCCAGCACTTTGGGAGGCCGAGGCGGGTGGATCACGAGGTCAAGAGATCGAGACCATCCTGGTCAACATGGTGAAACCCCCTCTCTACTAAAAAAAATACAAAAAATTAGCTGGGCATAGTGGCGTGTGCCTGTAATCCCAGCTACTCAGGAGGCTGAGGCAGGAGAATTGCCTGAACCCAGGAGGCGGAGGTTGCGGTGAGCCGAGATCGCGCCATTGCATTCCAGCCTGGGTAACAAGGGCGAAACTCCGTCTCAAAAAAAAAAAGAAAAAAAAAAAACAGATCAACTTTTGCTAAGGAGACCCCAATTCTTTGTAGACTGATAAGCTACGATTGTGAAGTATTTCCCTTAAATAGGCTTTTATAAAATTTAAAATAACTTTGGAAAAAATATCTTTAGAATGAAGTGACCGACTCAAGGCCACTGATGATGTTGAAAGTATTGCGAACAAGGATTAAAAATCACTCAACAACATTTATGTACAATGTAGTATCCCATCATAAGGCTTCTCATTAAACTTGGAATCCAAAGAGTATTAAAGATTAAATTCCTTTTTTTAATTTTCAGAAATTCTGATTCCAAACTAGGGGAAAAAAAAGTTGGTTTTGCCCTCCAAATAGTTGTAGTGTCATTCAAAAAAAAGTAAGTTTGCCTTCAGATTGCTTTACGTTTGGAAAATTAAGTCACAAAGAAGAATAAAGAATAGATGTGGCTTTGAATTTGTAATGTAATTTCCCCTGAAATTTGTTAAATCTTGATAGTGTATTCAGAAAATCTCTTTGCGTCATAGTTGAGAATGTATAAGATAAGACAGAGCAGGAGGAAGTAGAGGGAGGAGGGTGAAGTACAAGAAACCCAACCAGAAGAGCACAACTGTTCCCACTTCGACTTCTTCCCAGTATTCTGTCTCGTTAAAGCTGGTAGCTTACCCTTGACCGTGAAGGACCTTGTCGCTGTCACACTATAATTGGCTCCATTTTCATTGTGTATAAATTTACAGGTGTAATCACCTGCGTCTTCAAGCATCACATTATCAATGACCAAAAATGACTTGTGCGCCCTGTACCTTGATCCTTTAAGAGCTTGACAATTCTGAAATAAGAAATGTTCCTTTTTAGTAATTCTCCACTTGTATTTATTTATTTATTTATTCATTTAGAGACAGAATCTTTGTTGCCCACGCTGGAGTGCAGTGGTGCAATCTGGGCTCACTGCAACCTCTGCCTTCCTGGTTCAAGTGATTCTCAAGCCTCAGCCTCCCAAATAGCTGGGATTACAGGTATGCACCACCATGCCCAGCTAATTTTTGTATTTTTTGGTAGAGATTGGGTTTCATCATGTTGGCCAGGCTGGTCTAAAACTCCTGGCCTCAAGTGATCTGCCTGCTTTGACTTCCCAAAGTGCTGAGATTACAGGAGTAAGCCATTGGGCCCAGCCACTTGTATTTATTTTAACTGTGTAATTTTCATCTATTTCCTCCCCAAATTTCCTCTTACCTTAAACCACTCAAGAGGTGCTGTCCAATTGTAGAGGTCAATTGTAGGACAATAAATTTTGGAATTTTTTTCTGATCCAGATACTGTTGAATACATCAAATAATCTGGAATGTTGCAATCTGGCTGCTTTTTATATATGGTGACATTTGCATATCCAGTCATGTTGGATGTAGGACTTTTAAAATAAGTCAGACAATTAAGAGTCACTTAGCATTGTGAAATAACTTCACCTAAATTTAGCCTTTATTTAATATTGCTTATCTTCTTAAAAACCATCAATATGCATAATGGTTATTTTCTTATTTAAAAATAAACATTAAAATCTAGAGTTTAAATACTTTTTTGTTACACTTGATATAAAAACAGCCCCCATGATAGCCCAACAATGACTTCTTCACCATATATTCATACACTGCATCTGCTGTAATCCTGTAATCCCAGTGTAATAAAGATAGTAGAATTTATTGAGTTTACTCTGTACCAGTGATGATCAAGAGCACTTTTCACACATTACCTTAGTTTATTTTCATAATAATGCTTTGAGATGAATTCCATTATTACATTATATGCATTTTACAGGGAAGGAAACTGAAGGGCAGAGAAGTAACTTGCTAGCATCACACAGCTAACTAGAGGCAGGGCATGAATTTGACACTCGTCTAGCCTCAGACCTAGGCCCTTAACTAACACATCCTGACTTTTGATATAATTCATTTGACATTTTCTATGTGCCAAATATGGTCACAGAATCAAATTTTTTGTGAACAAGAGTAAGTAATTTGTAGGCACACAATCTCATCAGCCTTCTGCGGCTTAACTTGAAGGTTAAAAGCATTGGTCACCACCCCTTTTCACCTACCAGAGGCCCCTTGAGATGGAAAACATCCAGGTTACTATTTACTGTGCTAGTTTGTTCTTAATTCCAGCCAAACATGAGCAATTTCTCTTAGTTATCTTGGTCACTAGGAAAGCTAGGTTTTCCTCTAAGTCAGCTACAAATTAATCCCTGCAATTATAAAGCCAAATAGTTAGCTTGAAATGAGCTAGACCTCAAGCTGAAGTATCTCTAGAAGTTTATCCAAATCACTTTATAAATGTAACTGTTCCAGAAAGGACTAGGGAAGGAATGAAAGCAAGGGTGGCTCAAAATATCAACTATTCAAGAAAGGCCAGCAGGCTGAAAGAAGATGGGAGCTTTCTGCGTAATAAATACCTTCTGACAATGCAGGTATAAATACCAGAATCATCAACTTTGGCTGGTAGAAACTTTAGAAGTTGGCCTGAGGCAAACACATGATTTCTTTCCTGGGTAGGAATACTTTTGTTTGTTTGTGTATAATACCAATCCACTGTGTAACTAGGTTTTCCTTTTCTAGGACACCTCACAATTAAAGCCTCATTTTCCAGGCCCCACGACTGTCTACCTGCAAAAAAAAAAAAAAAAAAAAAAAACACAAAAAGATGTAAAGACAATCCTAAAATGACCTAATGAAAAGCTTCTAATTCCTATCCTCTCAATATTTTCTTCCAGGATTAAATTTAGAAGCTGGTCACATACTTTGGGAAAGAATAAGTAAATGATTGAGGTCTCTCATGAAATGTTAATGTATTAATTTAGAGCTAAATCCCCCACAGTGCTCCAACGGAAAAGCAGCCATATCTATCTAAACAAACTATGTGTCAGTCAACAAATACCTACAACACCTCCCATGTGCAGGCACCATGTTAAATTCTGATGCATTTGAATATGTATAGCTAAACTTATGATATATACATTACAAAGAATTTCTTCTGATAGATCTGTAATGAAGAATGATTGTACAAAAAGAATACATTTTCCAGTTTACAATTCACTGGAATAATTGGAAGCAAGTCACTTAAAACAAGGTGAATGTTCTTGAAATTATATAATTTTTAATAATTTAAATTATAGTTAAAAGGCAATACTTACTAAACTTCGCTGCTGTGGAAGACATGACAATTGCGAGAATTGCTAAGATCCAAAGCCCCATTCTCTGTTTATCAGTCAAGAGCAAGTGTTGGCAACTGGTTGTTCAGATTACGCTGAGTCAATGGCATGAGTCAAATACTCAGATTACTCTGAGTCAATTACCGTGAGTCAATGGCATATGATAGTGAAAGTCACCATACATGAGGCAGTTGATGACTCTCCCCAAGATAGAGTTGAGAAGAATAGCCTGTATCTCAACTGAAAAATAAATTAGACAAAACCATAAACAGAATTTTTATCAGCCATGATTTTTACTTTCTGAACACCACCCAGGAGAATGAATTAATCAACATGTATTTATTAAGTGCAAATAGATTTAACAGCAGGTTTCAGACAAGCAGCACTGGATTTATTCTTATGGAAGCTTTCAGTCATATAGCTCTCACAAGGATCATGCTATTTGACAATTTTCATGCTACCTCACAGTTATATTTTACCAGCCTCATGAGAATGTCCTGGAAGAAGCTAAGAAGGAAGGAATGTGAGTTTCTATTTTTGAAAAATTAAATAAAATTTAGTAGATTTTAGAAAATACATTGTATCATGTGAAACCTCAGACATCCACACAGGCTGGGGGCAGCATGCTCATATAAATAGCTCTCAAACAGACACATGTGCAAGCACTCATCACAAAACAGCTAAGGAGTAGCAAAGTCAGAACTAGACTAAAGCATTAGCCAATTAATTGCCCTATTCTCAACCCGAACCCTCAAACATTTGTTCTTACTTCAGCTTGCTTCCAGGAATCACCAAAGGCTTTCTAAGCATAGTTGAAGATATGTGAATAATAATAAATATATTTATTTTTTCTTTCAGAAAAAGAATTATTTACTATATTACTTGTTTTCTTAAAATATCGGGGGAGGAATAGAACCAACATAGAAATTTATGAACATAAGAATAAACACTATCATGAATTATGAAGAGTTTCCTTATTGCAAATTTTAGATAACAAATTGATGCTTACCCAAACTGAAAGACAGAGGGGATGAACTTGGAGTCAGTGACAGAGCTAAGAATAGTCTCCAGTCTTGAAAAAGGTCTCCAGTCCCTCCTCGTAGACTACCCACTCTCTTTTATTTTAAAGGGGAGACACTCAAAGACATCCTGTAATTTGCCACTCCACCCATCCTAAATTTGATTTGTAGCCAAATTCATGACTTGTTCAAAAATGCTGATGCATCATGTACTAAGAATTCTTGATGTTGACAAATAAATATTTAAACATAAAAACAACATTGAATAATAATGCCTTAAGAGGAAATAATTGAATCATTTCCTCCCATTTTAGCATCAGTTTCGGGCTGAATCATAAATAATGCTTATTGGCTGTGCATATGTTAGGATACTTTCAGTTCTAAATGGTCTTGACATCTGGGGCTGGAGGCTGCCTTTCCAGGCACTGAAACTTAAAAATGCTCTGTCTAGGGTCCAGAATGTGACTTCACCCCAACCCAAAACAGTTCCAGCTCCTTGGATTTAAAACTCGGTGGGGCTCTCAGCCTGGATGCAAAAAAAAAAAATTTCTAGAGTGCAGAGAAAAAGAAGAGGGCTGAGGGGACTGTGACTAAGAAGCTTCCCTCAAGGGGAATGATGATGAAGTAGCCTCAACTATTGGGCTCCATGTACAACAAACTTCAAAAGCAAAATTTGATTTTAGCTATGCGTAGTTGTGATGACCCTATCGTGAGTAAAGTCAACCTTTTAAACGATGTTTAAAAGTCATCTCATCTCAGAAGGATTCAGGAACTAACTTCAAATCAATTTAATAATATAATGTTAATAGCTAACCTTTCTTCAGAATGTCCTCTATGCCAGATACAGTCTAAGTGATTTACATATATTAATTCTTTCTTTCTCACAATCACCCAATGAGGCAGGAACTTTTATTATGATGCCCATTTTACAGACAAGGACACTGAGGTACAGAGAGATTAAGCAACTTGCCCGTGTCACTTTACATTAAGAGGCGAAGTCACAATTTGAACCCAAGAAGCCTGGCTCTAAAGACTAGACTAATCACAGACTCCAACTGCCGCTGCTTGTGGAAGGTCAGGAAAGGAGGTGCTGCAAAAAGGGGAGTTCTCAGAACATTTTTTGAGCCAGCATCTTTGCTCCCCACCATGTCTGGAACCACCCTTGAATCTCTTATCTGTCAGGGGTTTAGTCAGCCTTTGGGTGTGTGTAGTGGCTCTGAGAGGAAGAGATATACAGTCCTTTGACCGCTGGGAGATTGATCCTGAGATGTTTGCTGTAAATTAGAGGAATTAGTCTGCACACTGTTATTCTTGACCTACTTGTGGAAGTCCATTTTATCAAGATCTTATTGCAGTTTTGGCATGAAATGACAGCCAGGAGCCAGCGAGTCTGCAATGTTGCCTGTGGTTCCCAAAGGGCTGCATAGGGTTTGTTCAATAATACAATACGAACTCAGAATTGTTTTACAGTTGGCATCCCAAAACATATTTTTAAAACATGTATTAAGTGTGAGCATTCATTCATTAAACTAGGTCACATGAGCATTGGTTTCTCTGTTTTAAAAATAAGGCTTCAGTCAATTTTAACATCATAATGATGAAATTTTGTAGGAGTATTTATTAAAGTCAAACTATTCCTGTAAAATAATTGTCGTTCATTTGATAATTAAGACCTTTCATTCAAAGTGCAATACTGTGTGGTACTTATCATCAACATCACTCAAATTTTAGAGATACAAATAAAAACCCAAGGATAAGACTGGTTAAGTAATTTGACCAAGTTCACCCAGTTGTGGCTGGGATTGAAACCAGACTTTTGAACTTCAAAGCCAAGGTTATTTTTTCCCCTAATGTCAACTAAAAAGGAGAACATCCTCTATACCAGAGATTAGAGTGGTAAAGCTTTTCTTTTTATAATTGGGACTGGGTTGTTAAAATGAGCTAGTCTATAATTTCTTCTTTGAAAAGAACTAAATCACTTTGACTTCTCACTACTCAGCCACCATCTGACATAACAGAGAGTAGCAACTTAAGACGAACTGCAAAAAGGCAAGGACTTCTAACCAATGAATAAAGCAAGAGATTTTACACACCTATACATTTCTGCCAACTTAATCAGCAATCTTCCAGCGTCTGCTTGTTTCTCTGGCAAACATGATTTTGTAGACATCTCGAAACTACTCTCCCTTTTTCAGATCAATCTCATGGAATCCAACCTCATTTAACTGGGTTTTTCTTAATTTTGTTACAGTTTTGAAATCCATATGTGCATATTTACAAGCTACTTCTCTGACATGTCCGCTAAAATAACAGAAAACAAAAGAACAAACGAAACCTTATGTTTTGAGGGTGACAGCTAGCTGCTGGCCTGTGGAGTGTGACACTCAAATACTTTCTAACTTAGAAGGTATCTTTGAAGACTTCTTCATTTGACTTAGTCAGCTATCACACCCAAATGTAAAATGTCAATACCCTAATACACTCCAGAGCTGTTCATGTGTGGCTGGTCTTACTGTAAACCAGCGGCAAAAGCCAGGAAATTTGGTCACATTGTCTTGTATGAATTTTAGTGAGTCAGGCTCTCATTCAGAAACTCTCAAAATAAGCAAGGGGTGGATTTTTTCCCCCTGATTTCATTAGAGGACATCTGGGTACTATTTTTATTCTTTTTATTTTTTTCTTGATGGAAATGTTTGCAGGACCTGCAGTGGAAGGGGCAGAACTGGAATGGCCCTGGGTGGCCTGGCCGGGGCCTCTGGAGAATGTGCTGCCCCCCCAGGTCCATTATCTGTGTCACCTTGAGCAAGGTGCTTGTCTCTTGGCCACACTCCAAACTGTAGGCCCACTCAAGGCTCTACTCCTTCCCTCCAAACTCCTTCCTTCTTCAATCAATCCTCCCCTCCAAACACCAGAAGACCAGTTTGAATGGTTATTATTAAAAACTCAAAAAACAGCAGATATTGGCACTGATGTGGAGAAAAGGGAATGCTTATATATTGTTGCTGGGAACGTCAATTAGTTCAATCTCTATGGAAAACAGTATGGAGATTTCTCAATGAACCAAAAATAGAACTACCACTCAACCCAATAATCCCACTACTTCTCTAAAGAAAAAAAAATGTTATATAAAAAGACACCTCTACACCTCTACTAGTATGTGCATTGCATCACTCTTCATGATAGCGAAGTCATAGAACCAACTTACATGTCCATCTATGGTTGACTGGATAAAGAAAATGTGGTGCTTATTTCCCACAGATTACTATGTAGCCATAAAAAGAGTGAGATTACGTCCTTTGCCACAGGATGGAGCTGGAGACCATTATTCTAAGTGAACCAATTACCACATGCTCTCACATGTGGGAGCTAAACAATGCGTACCCATGGACGTAAAGATGGAAATAATAGACACTGGGAACTCCAAAAGTGGGGAGGGTACAAGGTGAGGAATGAAAAATTACCTACTGGGTGCAATATTTGCTATTTGGGTAAGCCCAGTCCCCACCAGTATGCAATATACCTGTGTAACAAACAAGTGTATGTACCCTAGAATCTAAAATTAAAAAAAGAAGAAGAAGAAAAAACGAGCATATATTTAAGGACCAAGTGGAATTAACAAAAGCTTCCTGTGGTCAGAACAGAACTTCTGATCTCCTCCAGCCTCTTTGCCTCCCTTGCCCCCAAGAAAAACCAGTGTATCTCCCTTTCTTCTTATCTCAATGATGACAACTCCTTCCTGAATGTTGGCTCAGATCAAGACTCCATTTATACTGACTCCTCTTCCTCACATATTGCACATGCAATCCATCAGGACAATCTGTGTTTTCATCTTCAAAGGGCATCCTACCTGCAACTACATGTCTCCATTATCATGGCCACCATCGTTGTCCAAGCCATCATGGTCTCTCACTTGGATTTTAATAACTGCTTCTAGTTTGCTGTCCCTGCTTCCACTTGTACCCTCTTTAGGTAGTCCCTAAAACAGATACTCTGGAAATTCTGTTAGAACCTAGCTCAAATCAAGGAGGCCTCCAAAGTCTTCCATTTCACCCACAGGAAAAGACAACACCTATAGAGCGGATGGGGGTCCCCCACAATGGAATACCACCTCTCTGCCCTCCAACCCTGTGTCTTCCTTGCTGTTCCTTGAAGGCACCAGGCAGACGTTGTTCCTTCTGCTTGGACAGCTTCTTCCTGTTACTCACAACTAACTTACCTTCTCCAAGTGGGCACTCGGATTGTACATTCTCAATGAGACTTAGCCTGACTACCCAATTCTGTTCTTTTTTTTGCTTCCCATTTTTAAAAATTGCACAAATTTTACATAATACAAAACTAACTAATTTAAAGTGCACAATTTAGTGGCATTTAGTGTATTCACAATGTGGTACAATCACTACATTTTCCATATAACCCCACACCTATTAATGTGAAGTCCCCATTCTTCCTCTTCCACCACAAACCCATAGCCACGACTACTTTGCTTTCTGTCTCTATAGATTTATCTATTCTGAATATTTCCTATAAACGCAATCATACGGTAAGTGCACTTTGGGACTGCCTTATATAACTTAGCATAGTGTTCCCAACTTTGTTCATATTGTAGATTGGGTTTGTACTTTATTGCTTCTAATGATTAAATAATATTCCACTGTGTGTACATACCACACTTCATTTATTCATTCATCCCTTGATGGACATCTGGGTTGCTTCTAGCTATTGACTATTTTGAGCAATGCTGCTGTTGGTGTTCAAGTATTTGTTTGAGTCCCTGACCAATCAATTTTGAATTGCAATGACTCCTCTCCCCTTCTCCATCTCCTTAACCGGCTCCAATCTTTTTCTAAGGCATTCATCACTGCCTAACATTCTAGTTGTGCGTCATGTTTATTATTTTGTTTTATCCATTGGAACATGAGCTCCAGAGGGCAAGATTATTTTTGTGAGTTTTGTCTATTGATACGGCTCACATACCTGGAAGAGCACAAAGTAGGTGCTTAGAAATATTTATTATTATTATTATTTCTGAGGCAAGGTCTCACTTTGTTGCCCAGGCTGGGGTGCAGTGGTGTGATCATGGCTCACTGCAGCTTCCACCTCCCAAGCTCAGGTGATCCTCCCAACTTAGCCTCCAGAATAGCTGGGACCACATGAGCACACCACCATGACCAGCTAATTTTTGTATTTTTTGTAGAGACAGGGTTTCACCATGTTGCTCAGGCTGGTATCAAACATCTGGGCTCCAGGGATTCACCCACCTTGACCTCCCAAAGTGCTGGGATTACAGGCCTGAGCCACGGTTCCCAGCCTCAGAAATGTTTATTAAATGAACCAGTACAAATGACCAGGGGGTGGAAATCAGGATCCGAGAAATAAAGCTTTTGTATCTGGATCTGAATAAGAGTAGTCTACGTTTTACCACGCTCTTACATCTCTACCCCAAACCTCTCCCTTATTCCTTTCCTCTCATGGGAAGATGAGACCTGAGTCACCCTTGGGAGGTCCCATGGGAACTCCTGGGCCAAGAAGAGATGGAGCATAGAGAGCCAGAAAAAGCTCTGTTGACTGCAGACACAGAGGAAAAAGAAATGGGCTGGTGGCCATGTGAAAAACAGCCAGCAATCTTAACAGTTTGCACATGTGAAATGACTAAATCATCACTAAAATCCCTTGAAGACTAATGG